GGGGGGGGGAAAGGTCTTCACCCAAATACTCAAATTTACAGTTTAGTGAAATGTGAATCAGCCCTCCCAAAAAGTGTAAAAGGAAAGTGAGGCAAAATTAATTTACCAGAAGAATCACTGAAATTTTTCAACTTAGAGCTCCAGGCATGGAAAAATTAGTGCTAGGATACAAGAATACAATGGAACAATTTCAAATGCTCCTTTTCTTGTTTCATCACATTAATACTTCACGTTGAGCAAAATTAAACATCGAACGTGTTTATATCAACTATATTTTAACACAGATTAGTATCTCGCAAGGATCCTCAATTTGAGGGGAAGGTATGTACCTTGATGGGAACATAACAAGAAGGAGTAAGATGAACCCACACTGAGCTATATACTGTAAGAATTCTCACAAGTTTTGCTGTTAATGCAGAAGCCACTCACTCTTGAAGACAACAGGAGGACTGTAAGAAAAGAGAATCTGAAGTCTTACTTCTGCATATCTTCAAAATTTAAAAAGAAACAAAAGGTACTCAGGCCCAGCCTGGTGTGGTGTTTATTTTTTGTGTGGTATTTATTTTTTCTTTATGTGTATGTGTTTAGAATTTATGGCAATAATTGAGAAAAACAACATTGTCACGGCAGGACATAAGTTGTCCTTGACTTCAAAGAAGTATTTACGTGTCATTTAACTTAACTGAATTTAAAGGCATGCTAACAGAGATCCTTTAAAGAAAGTTCTGTCTTTAAAGTATATACGTATGCATGTAAACACATATCTCCCTAAAGCCAAATTTTAAGATGATAATCACTGGAAACAGAGCTACTACCTTACCAGCAAAGGGATCAAAATCCTGCATCATTCTGTAGAGATGCAATCAAACAATATCTCTTTCACAGACAAGCTAAGCCTTCTGATAGGTTGAACTGATTGCAAAAAAGCCAAAGCGAAGCACATTTTTTGTAAAATTAATTGTATAATCTAACAGGGAGAAAGGTGGAGGTTTTCCACAAAAAAAAAAAGATCTTATAAAAAGCTAAAAAGCAAGAAGAATCTCTTTAGGATGCCTTAGGGAACTCAAGGCATCTCAGCTGAACATAGTGTAGGTGATTATTTCAATGCCATCATCAATATCATAAACAATATAAAAACTGGTAACATATAACTTCTAATCCCTATGTGCACACAGACATTTTCTAAATATATGAAATGAATGATAGATCATAACAAATAGCCATTTCATGCAGTAAAATTTACTATCAGCTGTGGTGGAAATATAATTTTGTTTCTTATTCAAGTATATAGTTTTCTGTTTACTTACACTTCAACGTTAGGTGTTTCTACTCAATACAAAACATAAAGTTGCTTTAATGACAGATGCGATCTGTAATACAACACTAGTTGTATCAGAGATATTTCTGCTGAGCACTTCAATGTTTATTCTAGAAAAATCACACTGCACATGATTGATTTTTGTATTTTGTATTTTTTACCGAAATCAGATGACATCAATAAAAAGAGATGCAGATGCTGCAAAAGTATACATATAATTGCACCACTGTCAGACAAAAGTCCTATGTACAGCCTGATATTGACAACAAGTTAAATACCAAATGCAACATTTAATTCTTCGTGACTTCTGAAATCTTTGGTGCCAATTACAACCTTTAAACATTCTGAAGCTAAAATATTATAAAGAAAGGCTGGTCCTGGTTAAAAGTTGAATCATGTTCAAAGTTATTTTTTTATGTTTGTATTAAAGATTATAGATATATGAATTTCATCAACTCAAAATGTGGATCAAATAATCTAACGCTTCATTGTTCAACTTGCTCTTGCTATGTGAAAAGAATACAAGGTGAAGCTCCCACAAAATTTTTCAGTCTACCTGCTACATCAATAACTACTGTTTAAATCGCTCATTCATTACTCATACGTTCTTGGTTTGTCTCTGCATCCAAATCAACAACAAAGAGAAGTCATATTTCTGCAATTTCCTGGAGAGCCCCCTATGCCCAGGGAAAAGTGAACATGGGGCTGTGTGGGCTCTGGCTCTGAAAATGAATGATTTGCACATGTGCATACATTGAGTTATTTACTAAAGAGCAGACAGAGAAACATCAAATCACTCCTTCTTTGAAATATGCTTGTCACAGTCATTTTCCTAAGAAAGCACAGTCTGGAACCATAATCCACATTTTTTTTAAAAAACAAAAACAAAAACAAAACACTGATGAGACAGTTCATCCAGCTAAAGGGTGACCTGCTCCTGGCAAATCACTGAACTGTACAAGAAAGGCTAGCACAAGAGCACAGAAGGGCAGCAAATAAAGATTTATTTTTTTTTATTCCTTCCCTATAGGGTGTGTTCAGGGCAGACAGATGCTGCACTCAGGCACCTGTGTTTTGTTCTTTTGGACTGACCCACGGCAGTGATAAGGGGCAGGTTTTCGAGCACGCAAACACATGGGCTCTGCTCACAGCCGCGTGTCATACTCCAAAGGCTCGTCCGGATCGTCAGCTCCTCTGGTGCTTGTCTCCATTTCTATTTTGAAGGCTGGACTGACCCTTTCCAGTGTGCAGTCATTTCTTCTCAAATCTATGGCAAGAAAACAAATTCAACAACGCAGCCAAATACACGTTTGAAAAGTACGTACACCCCAGGCAGAGTCCAGCCCAGTGACTGGTGGCAGCCTGTTAGCTGTTTCCAGGAGGAAGAAAATCTGCAGTGGGACAAATCAGAGCCAGGGGGATGAGAGCCCTGAGGGGACCCAAAATGATGCAAGCTGATATGAATGAAGCTTCCCTGACTGTATTCATTCAGCTGATTTTCCCATCTATTATCTCCAGCTGCCACAGACACAAATAATCAAAAACAATAACGTTGCAGTTTCTGTTTCAGAATCAAACAGCAATTACTACTCCATGCAGGCACTGAAAGGAAGGAGTTTTCCCCTAGAAAAAAACAAGTGGGTAGAAATTCACCCAGAATAGCCATAATTTTGGCTTTGGGTCTTTTAAATCTGCCCACATCAAACGGAAGCACATTCCATCTAATCTAACATGAACAACAGGCAATTCAAGTAAGCAGAAGTATGGGCTGGATAGGCTATAGGACTCTATCCCAGGGCCAGGAAACCTCCAGCAAGTTCTTCCCCAGCTAACGCATTCCCAATTTTCAGATCGTTACTCTTGCTCATTCTAAAAATTATTGCTGATGTTACCCACAGTGATGACTCTGGAAAAACGAGTTACCATTTTGCAAAGCAAACGAAAAAAATTAATGGGTGGTTTTCATGCTGAATGCTAACATCAGGTTGATAAGCTCCAGTCTTTACACAGTTGCTGGGCAAAAGAGCAATATTCTCATACCCACCTTTTCACAGAGAAAAGTGTGCCTGCCACAATCTTTGAGCTCAACAGAATTTAGGTTCTCGTCTTTATAGCATGCCTAGGCCTTTACTTCCTTGCACTTAAAAAGTTACACATAGATTAAAAATTGATCTTTACTTTGCATACCAGGAAGTTTCAGCCTTCTACAGCAAGAGTTACAACGATGCTTTGTGATGAAGTTTCTTATTGCACCTTCTCCGAGGTTTGCTGGTCCAAATACCGTCTTTCCAGATCTAAAAGAAATATTATTAAATAATCAATTAACTCAAAATAAAACAATTGTAGGGGAGGGAGATGACAATGTTTTCTATTTTTTAAATCAGAGATGTTAGCCCTGTGTATAAAGACAATCAGAGCTTAGCATGTATCACAAGTTTCTTAACTCTGGGACAAGAAAACTGCCAATTCTGGTAAAGTATTAGCCTACATATATCCCACACTACTTTTCCTTCCTGCCCTATCTCAAAGATGCTCTAAAGGGAGACAGGACACACCCAGCAGTTCCTATTAAAACGCTCAAAGAAAATTTGGGCACAGCGACATTTATACAACACACACCAGAATCTGAGCGACTCTGTTGCAGCCACTGCTCCTTCCCATCAAGCAAATGGTTTGGTTCCAGTTTTGATGGTAGGCACCTGGGCACAAACCATAGCTAGCACGGACTTACTTTTACCTTACTTAAGAACAGAAAGCCAAAATCAAGCAGAGCCCTAGTCACATCAACATGCAGCACAGAAAAAAAAAACGTAGTACACTGCTGACAAGTAAGGCTTTAAAATTTATTGGCTTCTTCCTATGCTCATTTCCATGCTTCTGCACTCAGGCCAATTCAGCAACGTTACTAGGGGATCCATTTGTGGAAGTGTATTGCATATTCCGAATGAAGCTGACACAATTACAAATAGAAGCAAGCTACATCCACACATGTATTAGAAGTACCACATAATTACAACAGATTCTTAATGTAGTCTGAAAGATCAGTGTTCATTAATTTTAATATCGCTCCACCATTTTTCTCAAGAATTTAATTGACATTCTAGACATCACGGAACACAGCACACAAGAAACACTTCCAAAGAAACTTTATGAATGCTAGTATTTTGTTTTAATGATATGCAGAGTGGAAACAACACATTTTAAAATCTGAAATCAATTACAGCTCTGAGAAGCTATAGGAAAAGATTTTAACTCTCCCAAATCTATCTGTAATCCACACCAACAAAACGTATTCTCCCTAAAGAAAGCAGTTTTCAAATATGACACTCTCCTCTTTCATACAGGAGAAAAGCAATGATTAGCCAAAACTACTACAGAAAGCTTAGTAACTCTCTAATTTCTGGCAGACGTTAAAGACTATCTGTCTCCTGGATCATCTGAAGGACTTGTCTAATTAGCCTTTACTGCAAATTAGTACATCAAACAAGGCAAGAAGTGAAATATTATTTAAGTGCCATATATAGACTTCAAATGACATGATGCTATATAGCCATTTCCATGCCTTGGTATAATCTGGTAAAATGCCAGTAAGAATAGAACACACTTTAGTATTTGCTTGAGCAGGCACAGAAAATAGAGACTTCACTAACTGCAAGGCTACAGAACCACTCTGATACTTCCTCTGATCTGTTATTCTGTGCAAAGTGCAGCAAATAGCACAAGACAGACTGATAATTTTCTCACACTGTTGTGAGATAAACAGTGATACTGTCTGCAACATATGTGAAGTTATCTTTCCTCTCTGCCCAGCACAGGCAATGGTTCAAGAGGAATACTGCATTTAAATTTGGAAAACTATTTCAAAAAATATGAGGATAAATTGGGAAAATAAGAAGAATGAGCAGCAGTCTAGAAATCATGATATCCAAGAAAAGATTAGGGAGTAGCCTAAAAAGGAAAAAAAAAAAAAGAAATTGAAGGAGAAGATGGTGACTATCTTTGAGCTTGTTGAAATTTTTTTCTCTATGTCGACAGTAGAAAAGACCAGAAAGAAATGTTTCAAGAAGGAAATCAGGAAACATCTTTCAGACAGTAATGATAGCAAACCACTGAAAACAGATGCTCTGGGAAAGTTTTTAAGTTTTTCATCCTTGGAAGACCTTAAGACTTGTCTGTACAAGACCTGTAGAGTTAGTAATGACCTAGTGCAGAAGAAGCAGCAGCTGAACTCTTCAGGTCACTTCTAACCCTAGAAATATTTCACAAACAAGGTCACTCTCCTAGTTATTCAAAGTCTGATTTTGTCTCCAAGGAGAGAAAAGTACTGAGCCTAGCTTTCCAAGAAGACATATTAATGGGAGTTAATGGGCTTAAAAAAATAAAACATGTGCCTCCTTTTGTGCAGAACCTTACCTAATAGTTATGCTCCATAAATGCCTACCAGATTGTACTGGACTGGTCCTGGCTGGCAGGCAGGTAACACAGACTGTGCTGATGCAAAGAGTCCTCCTTATAGTCCAGAGCTACAAATGCTCAAAGCAGATAGTAAGACATTTACGGGGCTTCACTGATGTAAGGTAAAAGACTGTGGGGGGCTTCATGGCAAGTAGCACCTTTCCAGGGAGGTGCCCAAGTCATTTATGCAGTATGGTTTTGTAGATTTAGTTTCCAGTCCACCTGTGCAGGTTTCTACAGTAGAAGTTCAGTTCATGCAGATGTTTTGTCTCATGGCAGCAATTCAACTCTTAATTGTTTGGCTGGAAGTGCACAGCTTGGTAAATATTCAATAGATTTGTTCTTCAAAACACATGCTAATGAGTAGCTTCAGAGAACACGGTCTCCACTCGTTACTAAACCCTTCAGCCCATCACTATCTGCTTGAGAGCTTTCAAAAGGGAGAGTAAGAGACCTAGCACCTCTGACTCCTCCTTTTCACATGTTTGTAATGAGATTTTTGACTGTCAGCACCCTTCTTCTCACTCTCTCAGCAGGCCTAATGCATCAGTTCTTTCCAATTTGAAACTCAGCCCACTATTTTCCTCATCTCTGAATCTGCTCTACAGACACTCTGCACCTAGTGTCTGCAACAGCTTCACCCACGTGGACTTTGTTGTGGATTTGACAAGTAATGCAGGCTAAAAAGAGCATCCAGAGTACTGCTTATGAGGCAATTCTTCTCAATGTTTGGGCGGTACAGGAGCCGGCAGGGACTGCACTGTGTCACGACCTTGCTGCCAGGCCTTGATTACTTCTGCTTTCGAGGGAAATCTCCTCCTGAATGTCATATGCTCATCATTTTATCACTTCATAGATCCTATGCAGTGCATACAGCCAGATCTTCAACTGATATTAAATATCCATGAACTTACACTGGTTTACATCAGCTCAGGATCTAAGATGTCACAGTAACAGCCATACTTTCCAAACAGATATGTTATTTTTGTCTTGGTACTGTACATAAAACCAAGACACAATGCACTACCACAGAGCTAGAGGTCACATTTTGCCATTACAGAGTCCATTTCAAGACAACATGCAAGATGCATGAAAGAAAAGACTCATTACAAGATAATGACGTGAGCCACTAAATCAATGGAATTAAAGAAGCAAAACATAAATAATTTAACTGTAAGTAGTGCTAAAATTTGAATCAGCCCCGTCAGTCAGATGCCATCTATTTTCTCCTGGGCTTCTAAGAGAACATGAGCTCAAAGCAACTTTTGAGGCAGTGCCCAGGTTTTGATTAAGTACCTTACCTACAAATTAAAACTTAAAACAGATCTTGCTACTGCCAGAAATGTTTCTCTTGTGAGCAAATGAAGGTCAGAGCAAAGACAGTGCTTTTACATTGTTATTGTTATTACTATTTTAAAAAGTGTTTCTTAGAACTGTGTATCTGCCAGCTGCTTACAGAAACTATCCACGGTTTCACTGCCTTATTCCTTTAGATCCCTGAATCAAAACAATATAGTTTCACAACTCGCTCTTCTGAAGATTTCCCTGAACATAAGAAAATGAAGCTGGTTTTGATTAATTAATCAACACTTGCTCTTTAACTAGGACTTGACTGTTTTGCAGATGACAAAAAACAAAACAACAAAAAGTTCTGAAAATAAGATCTGTGTGATCAAATTTTAGTAAGCATGACAAAATTATTTAATGACAAAAATAATCCAGAAGGACACTACTAAACATAAGCTTCAAGACAGTGTAGATAAATGTTATTCCTAAATTAAAGAGGATAAGCTGAGTTTCAATGTGAAGTACTGTGGTCGATGACTGGCCCCAGTCTTCAGTAATAACTATTACAGTTTATGCTCCCACTGATATAAAAAAAAATCCACTTAAACAATGGCAAACCAGACTTTTATACATCTGTAGCAATAGCTTAAAAATGTTTGCTAAAATCTAGTGAACAACTACATGATTGACCTCTCTGCCTCTCTATCAAAAGCTATCTTCGTGCTTTTGTCATGGTCCTATGACCTACTTAGGGAAAAGACTTTGTCACTGTGAGGTGCTCAGCATATTCTTGATGTTGCTTCCAAAATAAATATTATATGGCCAATACACCTACATTCATAATTAAACATTCATATAACATTAATACAGTCATTTATTACTAATCTTATCAATGAAATATTAATAATGGTCACAGAACTACGAATTAGGCAAGTCGCCTGATATTTTTACAGTTAATTGCCCTTTGTATTAAATCACACTATTCATATTTATATCTTCCTTCCTTCCAAACATCAGACACCCCTTCACTAACATGACATGTTAGTGGGAGCCAAGCTGAGCACAAGACAGTGGAGGGGCAGGGATGCCAGGGCACAGCTGGGTTTGGGAAGACTCCGCAGAGAACAGGACCCTGCAAGACAGCAACCATCAACACCACTGCTTCTCCTCTTGCTACGGCAAATACCAGCGAGGAGCAAGGTCACAGGATGGGAGAACGGACACGGTTCTGATTCTGAAATTTGATGCATGAAGACAGACTGGTACGTCTGTGTAGTCTCTCTGGTTTTCGTAACTTTCCACACATGATTTACCATCTCCTCTGAGACTGTAACATGCAGTATGCTTAAAGGCACCACTAGGACCTATCAGAAAGATAAGAGATCCAGAGGCCCTCTCCTCATCCTCTTAAGCCATTGTGGTCTCATACACTCTATGAAACAGTGTCCCACCAAGTAGTGGAAACCAGATTGCCACACTGAAGTTACTGATGGCCTCCTCCAGTGCAAATTTGTCAAGAGTCTTACAGGGTCTTCTGTTTCCCATCCCTGCTCTCGCTGCACAGCCCTGGAAGACTCCTGCGCTCCCAGCACAGCAACACAGACTCTCCTCACCTCTCATACACTGCTCACCACATGTTGGGAGCTGGGACACTTACAGCCCCCCATGTCCACAGTCTTCCAAAGCACAGCAGAGGACGTAGTCTTTCCATTGCCATCATACCTTCATTTAACCCAAACATTATGCAAAAAAATACTTAAATCTCTCACACAAAACACAAAAAGCACCCTAAATATACAGGCTGTTGGGAAGACATCTGAAGTGAATGATAATTTCATCAGAAAGAAACTTACTTTTTGTCTTCAGGTTTAATCACAGACGGATCTGTAAGGTTTTCCCCTACACCTACAACAAAATTAACATTGCGTGTTACAAGGAAAGGTAGTCACAATTTCATAATCTGGCACTCAAAAAAAAAATGTAATCATCCATTTTCTTTTCTTTGCAGATCATAAAGTGTCACAGTTAAAGTGGTCATGAGTTAAAAAGAAAACGCCATGAGTATAAAAATCTATTAAGTATTGACAAACGCATAGAGTTTTTCTCACAGTCTGACTTCGGCTGCTTTGAGGTTTATTTATATGTAGACAGAAGGCTTACGCAAATGCACTAAATATTACGCTGAAGCTTAACTAAGCAAAATATAACTAACCAACCGTAAGACTGCTATTTAAGTGGGAGTAAAGGTATTAATCAATGTGGATCTTACTGATGTCAATAGATCTACTCTCAGATACACGTTCTCATCAAGGCAACAAACACAACAAGCCACACCTTCATGATTTGCAAATGCTCGGGTCCGTTATCCCTTTTTTCTTCTGGGTGGCCATGGAAGCATATTAAGTAATTTCATCATGATATCTGAATGCTGATACTTATGTATAAGCATGCCTGCAGGAATATGATCTTATTGGCATCATGGGGATGTGGTGGGATGAATCCTATGACTGGAATGTCAGAATGGAAGGATTTAGGCAGGGCAGAAGAGGAGGAGGGGTTGCTTTCTATGTCAAAGACCAGCTGGAGTGCATGGAGCTGCACCTGGGGGCGGATGAGGAGCCAACTGAGAGCTTATGGGTCAGGATTAAAGGGAGGGCAGGGACAGGTGACATTATAGTGGGGGTCTGCTACAGACCACTTGACCAGGAACATCGAGTGGATGAGGCTCTCTACAGACAGATAAGAGCAGCCTCACATTCACGAGCCCTGGTCCTTATGGGGGACTTCAACCACCCCGATATCTGTTGGAAGGACAACACAGCAGGGCATAGGCAATCCAGGAGGCTGTTGGAATGCATGGATGATAACTTCCTTCTCCAAGTGGTAGAGGAACCAATGAGGAGAGGTGCTTTGCTGGACCTTATTCTCACCAACAGGAGGGGCCGGTGAGGAACGTGACGCTCAAGGACAGCCTTGGCTGCAGCGATCATGAAATGGTGGAATTCAAGATACTTAGGGAAGCAAGGAGGGTGCACAGCAGGCTCACTATTTTGGATTTCAGGAGAGCAGACTTCAGCCTCTTGAGGGACCTCCTTGGTAGAGTAGAAGGGGATGAAGACCTGGAGGGAAGAGGGGCACAAGAAAGCTGGATAATATTCAAGGATCACCTCCTCCAAGCTCAGGAGTGGTGCATCCCAACAAAGAGGAAGGCAGGGAGGAACATCAGGAGGCCTGCATGGATGAACAAGGAGCTCCTGGACCAACTCGGACACAAAAAGAAGGCCTACAAAGAGTGGAAGCAAGGACAGGTAGCCTGAGAAGAATACGGAGAAATTGTCCGAGCAATCAGAGATCAGGTTAGGAAAGCTAAAGCCCTGATAGAGTTAAATCCGGCCAGGGACATCAAGGGCAACAAGAAAAACTTCTATAGATATGTCAGTGATAAAAAGAGATCTAGGGAAAATGTAGGCCCTCTCCGGAAGGAAACAGGGGACCTGGCTACCAGGGATATGGAGAAGGCTGAGGTTCTCAATGACTTCTTTGCCTCAGTCTTCACTGGCAAGAGCTCCAGCTGCACAGCCCAAGTCACAGAAGGCAAAGGCAGGGACTGGGAGAATGAAGAACGGCCCACTGTAGAAAATCAGGTTCCAGACCATCTAAGGAACCTGAAGGTGCACAAGTCCATGGGTCCTGATGAGGTGCATCCGTGGGTCCTGAGGGAAATGGCGGATGAAGTTGCTAAGCCACTATCCATCGTATTTCAGAAGTCATGGCAGTCTAGTGAAGTTCCCATCAACTGGAAAAGGGGAAACATAGCCCCCATCTTTAGAAAGGGAAAATAAGAAGACCCAGGGAATTACAAGCCAGTCAGTCTCACCTCTGTGCCCAGCAAGATCATGGAGCAGATCCTCCTGGTGACTATGTTAAGGCACATGGAAAATAAGGGGGTGATGGGTGACAGTCAACACGGCTTCACTAAGGGCAAATCCTGCCTGACAAATTTGGTGGCCTTCTATAATGAGGTTACAGCATTGATGGATAAGGCAAGAGCAACTGACATCGCCTACCTGGACTTATCCAAAGCATTTGATACTGTCCCACACAACATCCTTGTCTCTAAACTGGAGAGACATGAATTTGACAGATGGACCACTCGGTGGATAAGGAATTGGCTGGATGGTCGCACTCAAAGAGTTGTGATCAACGGCTCGATGTCCAGTCAAGTGGAGACCAGTGACGAGTGGTGTTCCTCAGGGGTCAGTACTGGGGCCGGTGCTGTTTAACATCTTTGTAGGCGACAGGGACAGTGGGATCGAGTGCACCCTCAGCAAGTTTGCAGATGACACCAAGTTGTGTGGTGTGGTGGACACGCTGGAGGGAAGGGATGCCATCCAGAGGGACCTTGACAGGCTGGAGAGGTGGGCCTGTGAGAACCTCATGAAGTTCAACAAGGCCAAGTGCAAGGTCCTTTACGTGAGTCGGGGCAATCCCAAGCACAAGTACTGGCTGGGCAGAGAATGGATTGAGAGCAGCCCGGAGAAAAAGGACTTGGGAGTGCTGGTGGGTGAGAAGCTCAACACAAGCCGGCAATGCGCACTGGCAGCGCAGAAAGCCAACCGTATCCTGGGCTGCATCAAAAGGAGCATGGCCAGCAGGTCGAGGGAAGTGATTCTGCCCCTCTGCTCTGCTCTCGTGAGAAACCACCTGGAATACTGCGTTCAGCTCTGGAGTCCTCAGCACAAGAAGGACATGGAGCTGCTGGTCCAGAGGATGGCCGCGAAGATGATCTGGGGGCTGGAGCTCCTCTGCTATGAAGACAGGTTGAGAGAGTTGGAATTGTTCAGCCTGGAGAAGAGAAGGCTCCAGGGTGATCTTATAGCAGTCTTCCACTACCTGAAGGGGACCTACAGGAAAGCTGGAGAGCGGCTTTTTACAAGGGTATATGGTGATAAGACAAGGGGCAATGGATTTAATCTGAAAGAAGGTAGATTTAGATTAGATATAAGGAAGAAATTTTTCACTCTGAGTGTAGTGAGGCACTGGAACATGTTGCCCAGAGAAGTTGTAGATGTCCTATCCCTGGAAGTGTTCGAGGCCAGGTTGAATGAGGCTTTGAGCAACCTGGTGCAGTAGAGGGTGTCCCTGCCCATGGCAGGGGGTTTGGAACTAGATGATCTTTGAGGTCCCTTCCAACCCTAACCATTCTATGATTTTATGATTCTATGTTGCAGATTTCCCCAAACTGATGACATATTAGCATTTTACCCAAAAGATCTTTTCTTATATCTGAGAAGTTGCTGTGCTTTTACACTAATGAAAAAAGTCCGTGATCATATGATTTGCAATTATTTTTATTTCAATAGGCTGCTGACGGTAAGTTTATATACTGCAACAAATGCTAGTAAAGAGTATGGAAATAGCATAACGTGATTGAAACACCCTCAAATTGCAACACTTTTCAATGAAGGTCATTTCAGCTGATGTAAATTAGACAAAATGCAGTGCATATGTATGCAGAGATGGCCTTGGTATTATATAGTAAATGGTAATAAAGTTTAATCCTATTAGAACTCCAAGGGGAGTGCAGTCCTTGCACTTTTCCTAAACTCCACATTAGACAACTACAAGATAAACACGAGGCCAAAACTAGAGCAGATTTCAGTTTGTTTAAGATGGAAACTGAAGCTCCAGTCTTGATGAGATTTACATAGATGTTTAAATTCTCCATGTTTGAGCCAACACAGTTGGTCTGGAACTGTCAAGAGTTGTATAATAAACCCAAGCAAACTTCGGACAAATGCTAGTAGGCTATGGTGAAGACACACTTTCTGTATTTTTTCATGTGCAGCTAAAACCAAATGAAGGCAAAGATGGAATTATAGGTTTATTTTGCATAATAAGCATGTCTTTTTGTAATTCACAGCTTCTGGATGCTGTAAAATGTAAATATGTTAAGTCTCTGTCTAGGCACACACATTTCCCTTGACAGAAATGACAAACAATAGTGTTTATACTGTTTGATGGGTGCTGTTCATCTTCTGAACATTGTCAACTGTTTTATCTCTTTAAAATATGCCATGTTCCCACTTACACATGTACAGTAAAGTGATCACATGCTCTTTGAAGGAGTCACTAGACTTTGTGAATAGCATTCAGGCTTGCAGCTTATGTAAACTGCTTACAGATTTATTAATATGAAAAATAAAAAAATACAGATAGCAGTTCACCCTCTTCTGACAGATATACACATACATTAAGTGTGCATATATACCTAGGTACTCTTGAATCTCTGTATTATTTATAAATCTTAATAAAAAAAAAATACCTTAACTGTGGAGTGGTTTTTTGGAGCTGGCAGAAATGCTCCTACACGCTTTATCTACCTGCTCTTTTGCCCACTCAGCCTAGATATGCCTGAAGCCAAATTATTTTCCCATTACACCTACATTAATCCAGAATGTTTCTGTGGATACTCATTTATCAGCGCCGCACAACAGATATTCAGGGGTTTCCTGAGCTTTGCCAGTATGTAAATGAGAACAGAATTTGGCCTATTCTGCAGTAATAAATTCTCTTTTGAAAGAAATGCTTCTCATTGGCTTTCCAACAGTCATCCTATGCTAGCAGTCACCTTGCAAATCCAGGACAAGGAGCTCCCCACGGGTGTACACGTAGGTCCAGTGAGAGAAGGCCAGCATCAGCTCTTCCAGCAAGCTGCTGGGAGTAATCTCGTCCCCATTGTTGTTGTTGTATTTCCGAAACTCGCCAGTCATGTACTTCTCAATGGTCAGCCACTGGTTTGCTGAATGGCAGTAGACGAGGAAAACTTCCAGGAACCTGTAGATAGAAATGCTGTCTATCAGGAGCTGGCAGGGTAATGAACATCCTCACAGTCAGTACACAGCATGATGCAAAGCAAATATATCAAAAAGGAGGACAGGTCTTTCCTAGCTGGAGAGTTTTCAACAGCAGGAGGTACCAAATGGTGGACAGCACAAAGGTTTTCTCAGTTTGTTAACTCTCAAAACAAAGCCCTTGATCATAAAGTATAGTTTATGAACAAACAACATAATCTGATTTAGTCCAGCCCACTGTAAATGAGCTATATCAAATTGTCTTATGTTCATTGTATAAAAGGCAATTTTTGCTCAAGTCTAAGGAACGGTGTTATGAAGAAGCCTACTTTGCCATCACATGTAGTTATAAAGAAAAAGTTCAAAGCTGTCCACCTTCCCTCTTAAAAAGTTTATTAACTATCATTAGACTGTCTAAGCAGCAGCTATTTCAACGCACTATGGAAAAGAAGGCTCCACTAGACATAGGACAATGGCTTTAAACTGAAAGAGGAGAGATTTAGATTGGATATAAGGAAAGAATTTTTCACTCAGAGGGTGGTGAGGCACTGGAACAGGTTGCCCAGAGAAGTTGTGGGTGCCCAGTCCCTGGAAGTGTTCAAGGCCATGTTGGATGAGGCTTTGGGCAACCTGGTGTAGTGGAGGGTGTCCCTGCCCATGGCAGGGGGGTTGGAACTAGATGATCTTTGAGGTCCCTTCCAACCCAAACCATTCTATGATTCTATGATTCTATGACACAGCTCAGAAGAGAAACCTTTGGCATTTAATACTTAAAAACACAGTGATTTTACCTTGGAGTATAGGGAATAGTATGAGGCTTCACTTGATTGAAGGTATAGATTAACTTCTGGGCAGCCCTTTGCTGTTGGATCTCCTGAGGAAAATAGTGTTATAAACGTTACTTTCATTTTTGTGAAGAAAGGTGTCATGAATTTGTCAAAATAAACAAACACCTGATGGTATACTGTTTACAATCAAGAGATATATATCTTCCTGAAAACCTTTTTCCTTTCCAAAAGATAACGTCAGACCACGTATCAATCATGTTGAAGACATTTACATGTAAGCAGTATAACATTTAAGGCATATCAGGCTAGACCAATAAGTATGCCTTCAGGTCTGAACTCACCCTCAGGCAGAGATGTAGCACTGTGCCATCACGAAAGATCTTTTGCCAAGTCTGAACCACCTCCGGCAGAAACGACTTCACAATAAATACTTGTCCCAGCTTCAACACATCGTTCTCAGACCAAGTACAAATGACCTTCATGGCCCTCCGCAGACCCCCATCCATCTCCTCCCGCGATAAGACTTGGATCATTGCAGCCATACCACGCTGGGACCAGGAAGACATGCTTTTATCAAGGTTCGTAGGTGAACTTTCTTCTAGCCGATAGACCGTCACTTCCTCTCCAGCTTAAATAAAAGGAAGTTTTGTTAACAGAAGTCACACATTGCAGAAACAGGACACAACTGCATTTTGATTTGGTATCTTAAAATAACATACCATTTCACAACTTTTTAAGCCACACTTTAAAAGAGAGCTTTTTTATCATTACTGTTCATCTGCAGCAAAAATTCCCCAGCCTAAATTTACACTACTTACTACATACATTCCGCTTAATATCTACTGTGATAACATAATTGGTCCAAAGAGCTTGCATTAAGCCCCTAAACAGAGACAAATTTAAGATCTCCTCCACACTTCCACACAAACAAAGCTCATTGGTATTCTGGTCTATATAAATCAATCTCTTTTGTCACAGCTTTTTAAGTACATAAACATGGTTGATCCCTGAAAGTATGTATTTTTAAAGGGTTACCATTTCACCTCCAGTGTATGAACTTTAAACATCCTGAGTCTGGCTCCCTCTGTTTATGCATTTATGTGAAGGTGAAATTTTTAGCAAGACTTGTTTTAAGTTAACCCAGATCCATGGAACATTTACAGCATTTTCCTTGTAATTGTGCTTAAAAAAAAAAAAACACAACAACAACAACAAACAACAAACCACAAGGCAAACAAACACACACAGCTTGTAATAGTTATCGACTAAAAAATAAAAGGGCTGGAGAGTGCCACCTTTCGACACAAACAGACAGTTGAGCTGTTTCAAAAGCAGTGACTTAGCCACAACGAGCCCAGGAAGCTAGACTGAAAAGGACATGACTTTCCTCGGAGAAAGGAATCCTAGGAGAACAAGCTAAAGCAAATTAACAGGAAGTTTACTGTTCTGGTGTTTTAAACTAAGATTCGCCTTCTTCCTAGAAATTCCAATGTTATTCATACTGCACCAAATTTCAGATGTTCTGCTCCTGCTAATAACACTTTCCTGAAAGCAGAGCAAACCTGGTAAGCTCCAACTCAGGCGCGTTCTGTTTCGCTATGTAGTCAAAATAGCATTCTTCTCTTGCAGCACTTTTCTATTGCCATCATTTGTAAACTAAACAGAAAAGTGGACTGATTTTTTAAACTTGTCTTTCCTTCTTGCAACTCACATTATTTGCAATGTTAATTTATAAGAAGCAGGTTCTCACTGGCAAGTGTGATGAGGTAACTACATCTGCAAAATGGCAAAGAATGGCATAAGGAAGGACAAACTGGATTCAGATACGTAGACTCCCTCTCCATTCCCAAGCCTACCTTCACCAGTTAGCACAAATGTAGATGCTGCTGAATGACATAATTTGCGCACATTTTAATTTAAAATAGAGCAACAGAAAAGCCAGTGTCTCACATAAAAGACAGACACTTGAATAAAGATACCATAACTAGACATATTTTTTAACCTTACATTCATTCTTCATTTTATTATCTTTTGACAATTTAATACCTAGAAAGGTGTCTCCTGGGAGCTTCAAAGATTAGAATGTTCAATATGCTCACAGCTATATTAATTATCTGCAGCAATCTGGTCCCAAGAAATCCTATGATGCTGCAAGTATCAGCAATTAGTTGCTGTGAGAAAAAATATTCCATCCATTGAAAAGAAGGCACCTAGATCTCAAGAGTCTAGAGGCAGAGCTTCTGCTGCTGCAAGCCAATACTGCCCACTAATTTCAGATTCACTGATTTCAGATTCACTAATTTCACACTAATGATTTATGTATTACTCTCTACCACTCTTCAGATACAGCACCGTGTTATTTTCTCTTGGTACACTAGAAGTCTTCGGTACCAGATACAGGAGTAGTGCCCCTTCAACCAATATCTGGTTTTCTTCTTGATGGGATATCCTATACCTATATCTGTGTGTGTGCATGAGTGGGAGAGAAACAGAGAGGGAATGCAGGTATTAAGGTTAAGGGGAATTTTTTTGCTGTCTTCAGCTATCCTAATGATAGGTATAAAGAAGATGGAGTCAGACTCATCTCCAAAGCTGACAGTAATCACATGAAAATGCCAATAGATACAAGCTACAGCAAGGGAAACCCCAACAAATGCTGGGAAAAATACTAGGTTCACAACAAAGTCAGCAAACACTAGAAGAGGTAGTCCAGCAAAGCTAAGGAATCTCCATTTACAGACATACTTGAAATGCAATTCCACAGTCCCTCAGCAACCTGCTCTGAGTTGGCCGCAGAGGGATTTGGACCAGATGACCTCCAAAAGTCTCTAAATTAGTGCATGACTACAATTCTATCCTGGTTCATCTCTTTTAGAAAAGAAGAATTGCTGAAATTAATCCAAGGATATTTCTCAAACAGTCTTTAAAAAGATAATGCGCCGACTATTTATAAATCAAAAAACATAATCAGAGAATTGGTACTCACCAAAGAGCTGGACTGGTGTAAATGGTATGGTCTGAGCAAGTCTCATTAAGTTGTTTCTTTCAACAGCTGCAAACAACACACATTTCACTACTATACCGAATAAACAAGGTAGCTGAGTTTCAAAAACATCTGGCAGCACTTTATTGTAGTGTACAAAGCCAAGGAGGCTGCAGTGTGAACCTGTGTCAGATCTGATCACCATTCTACCCAGCGAGCAACTTCCTTTTGCACGCCCATGGTATGTCACAAGCATCAGCTGCCACTCTTTTCCTCGTTCACTGATTCCCTTCTTCCAAGGAAACTGGCTGTCTGGGATACATCTCTTGCACCCTGGCTAGAAGGACTATTTCTGCTAACTCTTCATCCTCCTCCTTCCACCAACAGCTGCGCTGCTTCCTCCTCCTGCCGCCTCCAGTGCAGCAACATTCACGCTGTGCCAACTGAGATGCACTGGCCCCAGCTGCCCTCGCTGCCTGTCTCTGTCAGGCTCAGAAGCACCTGGGGATTTGGCAAGTGATCACAGCAAATTCCAAGTGCACAGAGCACTGTTTCCTCATCTGGGCTTCCCGCTAAACAACATCAGTATCATTATTGTATCTCCCTGATTGGCAGCTTATTTCTCAGGCAAACACCTTCAAAACTTCAGAGGGCCAGCTAAATATTTATGGATTTGTCCTCACTATGACTCAGTTATCAGGAAGGAGGAGAGAGGTGTGAAGTAAGCTGCAAAGCGGGTAAGACTAGAACAAGGAGGCAACTCAGATGCTACAGTGCTGCTAGCCTAACTTCCCCATTCAATGGCTGAAGACAAAACTAGTGTCCAAAGCAAAGAGTGAACCACAGCAGCGCTATGTTTCTCTGCAGAGCAACCAAAAAGCCCCGATAGCAGGCTCTTCCAGAGCTTGGGCACTATCTATCCTTCTTTTTTAAGGTTACTTCTCTGAGCAGAAACTAATGAGAAATTATTTAGCCCAGAAGGAGAGAGCAAAGGGGACCCAGGACATACCAACCCATCAATCAGGGTCCTTGTTTGAGAACATCTGCATTTCAGACTCCATTTCAAGGCTCGATTACATGTTCCAAATTCAACAGGCATTGGTTAACATGCCTGAATAGTTTTGGAGCATGGACTGAAAATCAAGGTTTTCCCTTGATGCCTCACTAGGAATATGCTCTACTCATGGAATTAGTACATAGTAGGGCCAAGAATTGAACAGAGGAGCTGCCAGACCCATGCCATCTGTCAGACCTTGCCAGCACTCGCTCTAGAGCCTCCAGAAGCAATGTGAAGTGGACTTGCACCAGCTGCTGGACTTGGGTCAAAAGTCAAGTTCTTTTGAATGTGCAGAGAGGCAGAACTGTATTTGCCTGGACAATACGACAGCAAAAATAATGCATAAGAGTATATGGTGCAGGATTTTAGTATCAAACTTTTGGGCTTAGTTGGCTAAATTCTATCCCAATCTTCCTGAGGAAAGAAAACCTACACCGGAAACCTCTCGAGATGTTTGTCAACTCATAGTGGAAATCACTCTCATCCATGCTAAAAAGTCCTACCTAATCTCAAATAGCACACCTGACAAGAGTCAGATTAATCACTGCAACAATGCCACGACGTCAGAAGAAATTACTCCTGATCACTGATTACAAACCAGGAGGTGTTATTCCCAGAGAAAATCGCCTATTTCTCCAAACTTCAGGAGGCTGCCTGCCCAAGCTCCGGGTGTGCCCTAGGCTTCCCTTGAGAGGAGGCCAAGTCCCATAGGCAAGAGAGACACCTACTGTCGAGCTCTCCACCATTCTCCTCCGGGAAAAAATGAGATCCAAGCCTGGTGGGAAAATCTGTGCATACTCAGTTCAGGAAAAGACAGGACTGCCGGCAATTAGCATCCAAATGATTTATTCCCTGCCAGATTTCCAGGAGGTTCATAGGTATATAAACACAGATTAAGTAGTACAGGACCAATTAACTGCAGCAACCAATTCCAGAAAGTACAAAGGAGGATGTGGGAGGTGTGAGGGGAAGTGACAGCTATAAACAAATGAGCGGCTCTTCTGCCCCCCCAGGAATCGGAGCCCTATTCATTGTTTCCACTGATATTTTGAAAATGATTATTTACATTCCACTCTGGATTTGCCAGAAATACCCAGAATGGAGCAATGAGCAGCAAGAAAATAATTCATCATTTCCTCACTGGAGTGTTAGGCATGAATTAATACAGAACCTTCTTAGCAGTGGGCAACTGCAACTCTTCAAAGTGAAAATCACAGAGGATGATAAGGGAAGAACTAATGTTCTCTTTCATTTGTTAAATTACTCAGCTATCATTCTGGTGCCTCCTGCTTACCTGAGTAGTGATGATGCAGATCTTGAGATGTCTTCAAGCAGGCAAAGATATCTGAAGTAATGGTTAAAGGATCATTACGTTAATTATTACAGCAGAGATAAATGCATGATTTTTGAATTCCTTCCATCCCAGAGTTTGTCATGAAACAGATTAATCAGAATTACTGTCTCAGCATTCTAAAGAGGAGAACTAGTAATAGGCTTTAACTACCTTATAATGTACAGTATAGTGGCAGATTTCAGTCATCAGTGTAATATAGCCAGATGACTTATTTATTCAGGGAAATGGTGGGAAACTCGTGATATTAACCTCAAGGACATGTAGCTTCTCTAAGCCAATTACACCTCTGGGATATTAAAAGCACTTTGCTGTCCATCATGCTTCACAGCCTCCCAAAGGCATGATTTTTCCAACTCCATCCTCAGTCATTAAGCATTCCATTAACTATACTATTACACCAAAGTTATAATAATACTGTCTTATTAACCCACAACATGTAAAATGCTGTAAAAATAAAACCAGACAAACAGTTTCTGTGGTTACATATTTAACAGGCACAGTCAGATCAAATTTGGTCAAAAAATCTTTGTTTTATAAAAAGTCTTTTTAATAAAACCAAGATTAATGACCCTGTTTCCATCACATAGACGAGATCACTTTGTTCTATTGGAAAACAATCCTTCAAAATGCCAGATTTCAGAAAATATGTATACTTTACTGCTTTTAATCCTGAAAAATGAGATACTCAAAACTGAATCTTCGTCAAAATATTTGAACAATACCCTTTACTTCTTGGTGTATTTTATTTGTTTATATTTCCTTTTCTAGCAAAAGATATCTTAAATAAAAACCATAAACAGATGTTGAGGGAAGGGTCAGCATTTCCACTGTGTGCCCTCAGTGATTCAAGGTCCCTTTTGCTCTTTTTCTTGCTGGACCCGACTAGTTTTGTTGCATTTCGCATGTTGTAAAACAAGAAACATGAAAAGGGGAATGGGGGATAAGTTGTTCCTCTCGAGGATGGGAAAACTGGATTTTAACCAAAGCAATGGTGAGCTCTAGAGAGCTGCCCCACAACTCACTATGCTTGCAGCAGTGTGGTTCAGCACCGCTGCGTTTGGTGCACAGCCGGACCCAGAAAGAGCCGTGCTTGAAGGGGAGACAAGTCTAACAGCAACTCGTTTCTGCGTCACAGCTAGCCTCAAAAAGAGACAGATGCCCAGCTGCTCAGCCTCTTACAGCTAAGTGGCATGCCAGGAAAACTGGAAGATAGACTAAAAGGCAACAAATACAAGCGAAGTTAACTAGCACTCTGCTTTTGTGGAACAAAGTCATTCCTCGCTATAACGTTGAATTTCTTCATTTCACAACAAAATCCTTCACTGATTTCATAATTTCAGGGAAAATACACAAACAGATGAATTATACTAAACTGTGACTGGAAAAATTTAGCATATATTAAAAATTTTGTATCACAATCTATCCTCAGGTATACACCCTGCTTTAACTCAGAAGGTGTCTTAGACTGCCAGGGAAGAAAGCAGCACCATCACCTTAAAGAGTTTCTTTTTTTAAGGACAACATTACTGGGCAGACTAGAGTGAAAACAGAAAAGCAAGATTTGGTAGTCATCATGAGAAAAACATGTCCTCATAAAAAAATCTTCCACTTTACAAAATAATAATTAATATACGGAACAACAGTCGAACATTTTCCTATAACCCTCCAACTATAGTAAATTCACTTCCTTCTGGATTTTGCACTTCGGAATTGTGAGAGTGAGATTTGCGGAGGGGAATTAAAATGAGTGACAAGCAACCAAAAACTTACTGTCAGTTCCCTCTGAAGTTCTCAACCTGTTTAAAAGCAAACATTTGATATTTTACTCGAAAATTTCTGTCATTAAGCTAACACCGGTACCTATAAAGAGATGTCATTTATGTGACAGCAAAACTTACAAAGGTTTGATCAGCAATCACAAAACAAAATAACCCTCAGTGCAACTTTGTTCATTGCAACAATCAGCAAATAAACTCAGTTACTGAAGAATAGCCACGTTTTTCTGCATGTTTCTTTCTCTGCTTTATGTTGAGCTGGTCTTAGGATTCTGCACCGCTGCTCTTATAACTTACACTGCAACAACAGTATCAGTTAAAGAACACTTCAATCACACAGACAACTGTTCAGTTTTTAATCAGCACTGAGATGCGCGCAGAGCTACGTACGCCCCTACTATTGCTTGCACAAAACCAGAGTTTTTAAACTGATGCTCCTTTGGATTAGCAAGGCTGCAAAGAGACCACAGCATCAGCATTACTGTTAAAGCAGTCTTCATTACAAAAGACAGTGGATATGAGTCACCTTACAGAGCAGAGAGATCCCACTGAAGACAACAGACTAAGTGGCAGAATCAGGCCACTCAACGGCCTGTAAGTCCTGCTGCTAAGTAGGCAGTTTGCCTACTGCTTATAAATGACTGGGTTAAAAAAATAAGAAAAAAAACAAACAAACAAACACCTCACAAACACCACAGGATGGGAAAAAACAGTATGTTTTTTCCTCTTCAAGAGGGGAAATCACGCAGGATGTGGCAGTTTTCTGGTGTCTTTTATTTATTACATCCACAGTGTTACTAAGCAAGAGAGGCATACAAGAAATTGAGGAAAAGGAAGAGGAAGAGGAAGAGGAAGAGGAAGAGGAAGAGGAAGAGGAAGAGGAAGAGGAGGAAGAGGAGGAAGAGGAGGAAGAGGAGGAAAAGGAGGAAAAGGAGGAAAAGGAGGAAAAGGAGGAAAGGAGGAAAAGGAGGAAAAGGTGGAAAAGGAAAAAAGGGAAAGGGAAAGGGAAAGGGAAAGGGAAAGGGAAAGGGAAAGGGAAAGGGAAAGGGAAAGGGAAAGGGAAAGGGAAAGGGAAAGGGAAAGGGAAAGGGAAAGGGAAAGGGAAAGGGAAAGGGAAAGGGAAAGGGAAAGGGAAAGGGAAAGGGAAAGGGAAAGGGAAAGGGAAAGGGAAAGGGAAAGGGAAAGGGAAAGGGAAAGGGAAAGAAGCATACAGACAGCACTACATGTGGAAAAAATACCACCAATCTTAAGATAATGATCAAGCAAGCTGGAAAAAAAAAATAAGAACCCCACAATAAAACTGAAAACACTTTTGAAATCAGTATACTTTCACTAAATATAATCAAAGCTTAATAACTATTGAAAACTAATAACATTAAGAAAAACCAAGCTAAATATTTTGCAAATGTGCAGACTCAGAACGAAAGAGATTAATCAGAGAATGAGAGAAGCTTTCAGGAGCTGCTAGCGTTTTAATTATTAAAAAAGGAAACATGCAATTTGCACAGCAAAAGCAAATGCAACTTTTCATGCTCACTAGATTGGAATAATGGCTAGTTAAAGATGCTACGGTGATCTCAGTGATTGAATTAGAAAATTGAATTATTGTTAGAATAAAAAGGGGTGTCTATTCCACCTAAAATTATACACTTTGTTTAAAAAGATCTCTTTTATCTCCATTAATAAGGCTTCATTTAAAGAAACTTAAACAGACTGAATTGCCTTAACTCTTTCTTTCACATAAATTTCTCATCCTAAGTGTACTGCAGAACTGAAGTCAAAACCTGCAGAAGGTATACAAGTCTCTTTCTAAAAGCATGTGAGCAATACTTTAATATACTAATAATACATACAAGGAGCTCCTGTTCAAATTACTTTTCTTGGTGGTTCCAAATACGCTACTACTCAAATCCTGTAAAGAAGAGAGATACTTTTACTGGTGAAATCTGCACGTCACTGTCATACATACACTGGGCAACTCAAAAAGGTACAATTTTGGAAACACTTATTGTTACACTTATTGTTAGCACGAATAATGACACTGACAGGCAGGTGAATCACAGCATTGCCATACCTACACTGAAGTGGAACAAATTTGCTCACCTTACCGTTCTCCATGCTATGTCCACACACTGTAACAAAATACTCAGGTATCCACCTATATCGCAACACACTCACAAAAGCATGTTAAAGGTCTTCTAATAGAGACAGTATTTAGAGAACTCTCTTTGTATTGGAAAATTCCAATTTAGGGATAAGCTTTACAGTTGCTGAAAATAAAATGCACCCTAAACCTCTATAACAGAAGAAGGTAACAGACTGAGCAGTTTTCCAGTGATATTTAGATCACATATTTAGATCACTTAGTTAAAGAACTAAAATAATCTTTTAAACTTCCAGCCATATTAGGGAAATTTGGGCTAGCCAGGTCCTCTTAATGTGCTAGTCAGAAATCGGATTATTCTTCTGAATAATAGTCAGAAAGATTTCAATCCTCAAAGGAAACACAGCCCACCAAAAATGTTCAAAGACGACAAAGTTTAAAGACAAACTAACTAAAATCCAGCTTCGAATATTACCTGAAACTTAACTCACAGTTTTTTCATTTCACTCATATTTTCAACGCACAGCTTGCTTTGCAGACGAAATAATCTTTAGCAAAACCAAAACCTTCCTACATGCACCCTTGCTTTGCTCCCTGTCACCTGTCGTTAGAGATTTCTGAACCACTGGTGTTCAATGGGCATATCTGAGAAGCACCACCTTAGGAAAAATACATTTCTTTAAAACATATCATACTCCAGGCGGAACAGCTGGAACATTGTTACATCTCAGCGATATATATAAACTCTCATAATCCAGACAGGACTTAAGGAAAGGCATAGTGACCCAGTGGGTATCGGAGGCTGTATCTCGAAAGAATAAATAATTTGAAGTTGGCATTCTGGAAGTGACTACTTTCAGCCTAACTCAAATCTTGCTGTAACCAGTGGAATTTTTCTGAGAACTTTAAAAATCCCACCCTTGAGTTTTACCCAAGACATCTTAATATGAGCTCTGGAGCACCAGATTACTCTGTCCCTTCACACAGTTTCCCTGACTGTACCTTTACTTTGCTTGTCTGATCTATGTTTCACTTTTCAGAGATTTACTGATTTAGACTCCAAGTTCAGATTTTATAGAATACAAAATCAGTAATTTTATTTCTATTTCTCTCTCATTTTCTCCACTCCTTTATATAAAAACTTGCCATTTTAAAAAATTAAGATTCAAGCTCTCTTCCCTGATACTTGAGATTCAAATTCTACAGCACTCAGAATATCAGATCCGAAACTATCTGGTTTATGTTTATTCATTTAAAAAAAAAACCAAACAAACAAACAAACAAAAAAACCCAAACAATTCATAGCATTTACAGTGAAAAATAAGTTAGCCTTTTAAAAACCACCATTTTAATAATCCAGAGAGCTATAAGTAAAACAGGCAAGGAAGGGTGCTGTTGAAAAACGAAGAGGAAAGCATGATTTCACAGTTCCTTTTCTTGATTTATTCTTCATTAATTTCCTTTCATACCTCTGAGATACCCCTATGCAATGTAGTGAAACATACATTTTCTCTCATTGGCTACATTTTTAAAAAGATAGAATTTTCCGTAATCCAGATTCCTGCTCTCAGTCTTCAGGAAATATAAACTGGCTAGCTCCATCGAACTCAATGCTGATTTACATAGGCAGAGGACCTTTACATTACGAAGCTGCAAATTAATTCTGACAAATAGTAAGATACGGTGTTTATAAGCCAGTGGTTAAGAAATCTAAGCTTTGCGATTATTGTCAATATTAAACAACCACTTTGCAAGAAACAACTATCTTTGTTTGACAGATTAAGAGCTATGTAGCTAACTTCTCAAAATCTGCTTCACTCTGCTAATCAATTCTGCTCACAGGTTCAAGACCAAGCTCTGTGCACACTCATTGCCTAATGAAACATCAACATATGTGTCATTTCTGACCAACTTCTTCATACTCAGAACCACTCTGTGATTCAATAATTTAATATCCTACTTCAATATTCTTAATAGAGTGTTAACAGCTGTTAAATTATTAATTTACTGGCACACATGCGCTGTGTCAGCAGACACCAAAGTTCCTCATCTCTCAAGAAGTATTTCATGACAAAGAATCAATAGTGACAAGTTCAGGGATGTCAGGAGAGCTACCCTGGGCTCATCCCAGACAAAACTATGGGCTAAAATGTGTAATCTTACCTCTCGAGACTGCCTCAGATAATCACAGAATGGTATGGTATGCCTACCAATGTCTTGATTTTTCATTTTCTGGTGCATGTAACTGAGACGTTCCAAACCTAGCCAAAAGAGCAGGTGTCAGCCATTTCCAGAGAGCAAATTAACAGCTCTACAGCTACAAACTAAACACCTACGCAGTGCTATAAAATTAACACCTATATACCATATTGCCCCAGCAAACGCGTAATGGGCTATAAAAGCAGTAACAGAATTTCATAGGGTTAAAACAGACTGCTTCCCTTCTCAGTCAGCAGATTTCAGAAGAACGCAGCCCTTCTCAGACCACGCTGTGCTGAGTCACAGCATTCCCTGGTGCTTCTCCCAGCAGCTCGCAGGACGAAGCCAGCGAGCCACATCACAGCAAAGCTGAAAGATAAGATGAACTATGCAAAGGATTTCTGAGAATGAAAGATCTGGAGAATTACTAAAAGAAGAGTAAGAATGCCATTCCCTTTTCATTCCAACAGAGGCAATACAGAACTCATTTCTTCCCTTTGGAGGATGTGTTTCTGAGCAATGAGTAATGAATAATGCATGCAGAGGATCTGCCAGTAGATACAGTACTGCAGCACGTGCCTGTGAGTGTAAATGCCCTGAGAAATTCACTAGAGAGTTTATTTTTGCAATTAGCCAGGATGCCACGTTAGAAGACACCTCAGGAGAGGAGACAAGGATATCATCCTCCTTGCTTCCCACTTATTCCTGAGGATTAGTACTCTATTATCTGCCACATGAGACAGGCAGCACTCCCAGAAAGATTTAACTGACCTCCCATCCAACCTATGGCCCTTTTGCCTCTGCAATAACACAGCAAATAACTGAGTCACGTGTGCCTGCCACCTAATCCTAAGTCTGCAAAAGTTATGCCACGAGGTGAAAGTGGTGGATAACACTTGAAATTTGTGAATTTTTATTCACTGCTTCTTTTTAAAAGCTGTTCTGAATCTCACCATCTGCAAAATACCACATACTTAGCTGACTGAAATTAGACACAGTGAGCCAGTTCTTGCTGTGTTTCTCTTGCTCATCCCAAACATTGATCTCTGCAGGCTCTGAGCTCACTTGGGTGTTCTGGGGACAATCATCCACTCTAATCACCTGGCAAGACACAGACAAAACAACACTCGATTTATAGGATCGAGACTAGCACCTCTGCAGTTCCTCTGACAGCCCATGACGTGGCCTTTCAGCAGCCATCACTGAAATGCCAATGACTGAACTCGCTCCCAACTGAGAAACAGATTTTCCCATTTTTGTTACAAGTTGCAGAAGACATATTGCTTTTGTATAGTAAATACTGATGAAAGATCTAGCACTACAGCTTTTTAAAACAAAGTTTGAAGTCCCTCAAAATATCTTCAGAGGTAGTAGGTCTCAAAGTTCAAGTCTAAGATCTGTTGCTGACATGAGCATCCTACGTAAACAACTCAGTATTCAGCTTTCATCTTGTTAAGCAGAGACAACACTTTCCAGCTGACAAAGATCCTGAGAATCGCTTTGTAACTTTAGAAATAGATTTTTATGTATGCACGCATACATACAGCTACGAAAGTTGCCCCATGCATATGACACAATCAATATGCTGTCTGCAACGTCCTAAATGTTTGATGGATTCAGAGAAAACACTGCGGGACTCTTGTAGGCAGGAGACAACACTACAAGGCCTGGTTTGCTTGTTGACAGTTGCGCACCGCCTGGATGTGGCTCTTCACTCCTTCAGTCCATCCAAGATCATACAAAGCCTCCCCAAGTCCTCTTGCCAGATGAGGTGTAGGGACTGATTCTTTTCGCTGTAAAATCAGTTAACACCCCTGGTATACTACCTAGCAAAGTCCATAGACTTCAATAGGTTCAAAACTGAAATCCCACGTGTTCGAACAAAAGGGAAATTGAACCAAAGCCAGACACACCAAAAAGACACCCCAATTTGTGTGCAGCATTTTAAATGTATATATTTTCACCTAAGCCACACTGTAGAAATGTTCTTAATGAATGAAAAAGACAGCTACGAGATAAGTGATTCTCTTGCATCTGCACGTACCGGCACCTGAAGGAGTTTTTGATTTTTCTTTCCTCTCCCTGGCTTTCTGTCTCTGTTTTGTTGTTTTGCTTTTGTTGCCTCACTCTGGTGTAGCTCACTGGATCGTAAAGACTCTGTGGGAAAGAGTCAAAAAACACCATTAAGCTACAGAGCTTTTGTTTACTAAGAGAAGATCCGATAAGACTGACAGTTGGCAGGTCTCCAAAGCAAGCTGAGAAAGACTTGTGACACCCAAAGCTAATACTCATGCAGTTCAGTGCAAAGATGTGCACCACCACAAGATACAAAACAACAAATGTTATCCATCATCTCATGCTATTTATAGTTAGAACTGGAATCTGCTATATTTTAATTGCTGGTAAGCAAATTTGGTGGTGGCTTACAGGAAGGGTTTTAAACTGGCTATAAAAATGTATACCTCTTCATTCTTCATGCATCCATCTGCCCTATGACACTGCTAATGTGTCTCTTGGGGATTGTGTAATTCATTTTGCCTCCTGCAACTCTTGCATTGCTTCCCCAGGGCAGGAGACTGTCCCAGAGCAGGCACGGTTTCTCAGCCACCATGGCTGTGTAGCCACAGCCATAGGGATCCCGTGAGAAGCGGAAAATCAGGGTGCCTGACACACAGGCGTGGTGCAGCTTGGATACCAGGCACACTTCAGAAATTCCCTACAGTGGTCAGACCCAGCACAAAGAAAATGAAGGAGTAGCTCTGGACTCTCTGCTGCTACCTCCTGGGTGCAAAGGAAATGTTTTTATAGTGTCTTGAGCTCCCCAGTAACCGATAGGTGTATATAGGTGTAGTGTTTTATAATTACCAGCTATGGCCTTGCAGGTTTTCTCTCTTTTCTCTGTCTTAGGGGACTGTAAGCTGTTGCTCCTGCAGAAACTCCAGTCCCTCCAGAGTGGGCTGATCCAGAAGGAGGTGCTGCGTTTTAGCTTGCTCTGAGAGATGATGCTGCTGTGACGTGACCTATCAGAGTTGTAGGAGAATGACTTTGATTCTCTTATCTGGACACGCCTGGGAGGACTACCTGTGCAATTGCACTCACTGTTATAGGTGGAATGTATGCACAGGCCCTTCTTCTGTTTCTTCTCTGAGCTGAAAACCCCTTTTTCATCACCTTCAGAGAATCCCCAGTTCACATAACCACCTTCAGTTTCTTTCCTGTCATCACAGGAGGGTGCTGCACCCTCTTCAACATCCAGTGATGGATGGACACCAAGAGGATGATCAGGCTCTATGTCATTAGCCTTTTCTGATGGCAAATGAGTAATAAAGTCTCTCTGGCTCCATTGATAATCTTCTGGCTCTTTTCCAATAAGGCTGACACTCCGCAAGTTTTGCTGCACCACAATGCCACTTTGCAGTTCATCTCTGAATGCATCGTCCCTGTACTTGGCAGGAGTGCTCAAAAAGGACAAATTTAAGGTGACATTCTCAGAGAAAGACCCTCCCTGATGGTCGGGGGGCACCAGTAAAAATTGTCCATATCTAGGGGTTGACTTAGTCTCAGAGGATACTCCCGAAGTCAGTGTGTCACTTTCTATTTCTATCTTTCGAGAACTGTCTTCTACCATTTTGTTACTCTTGGTCCCCAGAACGTGTTCTTTGTACTCTGAAGCCCACTGACTCCTTACCAAGCTCCGTAAGAGGGATGGTGGCATGCTGTAGTAGTGGTGCTTCTTATCACATAAACACTCCAGGCTGCTTAAGGTCTTGGAATAGAGCACATTGCTCCAGCTATGGGGCAGCTTCCTACAGGTTCGATGTTTCGTGTCAGCCAGTAAGGCTTCTTCCACCTGCAAGGTGTCTACAGCTGAAAGCACCTTCAGGATGTCCACTGTCAAGGCAGACAGGTCTTGCAAATGTCCTAGCTGGCTGTCCAGGGAGAGTAAAGACTCCTTGATATAAAATATTTTCTCATGAACTTCTTTAAGCTGCAGAAACATCTCCTCCACTCTAGGTGGAAAAAGAAAAGATAATTAAAATACCAAAACACAGATCTTTACTTCTTCTTGCCAGATGACAAAGGAAGCCATTAATACATTTCGAAAAGTCAGAGTTTCAAATAGGCCTTTATTTTTTAATAGTGACTTCCATTCCCATGAATATCTATATTTGACAAAACCCATCCAGACTTACAACATGTCATTCAGATTACTGAGCCAATAGTCAGTGACTTCTAAGGAAACAGATGTTTTACTCAAGGAGTAACTATTTTAAAAACTGCTATTTTCCTACTAATGTCCATTCCTTGCCATAGAACTACTAAACCATGGACAGCAGGACATGGCTTTGGAAATGCTGCATTGGCTATTCCTGTAAATGTAAAATGCTGGCAAGTGCACTTCTTATCAGCCAGTCATCCTGCATTTGTACATTTCTTGTGCAAGCATGGGAAGGACAAGACTTGCACCGCACAAACCTGCAGATACTCTTGCATTTTTCAAATACTGGAGACTGCTGGAAAAAGGGTCTTCCCAACAACCTATTTGGCCTCTGGAAACAGATTCTGTATGTCTGATGCCAAAGCCTTTTTTAATGGTCTTCAAATACCCAGTGAACAGGGCAAAAACTTTTGGCCTGGAATGGTACCATTTTAACCAAATCATTATCTTCACGTTGAAGATACCCTCTGGTGGTCTATCACTAAGGCAATGATAAACTATCTCCAGGCAACATGCGAAAGTTGCTCCCTTCCTTTATCATTGAGTAACTGTAAGATGTAGAATTTAACAAATAGCTGAATAAAATCAAAGACCAGTGTATTTTATTCAACTAAATTGATTTCTTGTATTAATGTTATGCAATGCTGTGAAGTGTGTTTCACCTTTGCACTCAGAAAAAAAAATCCTTTCCAGATCTATATCTATCCACTAAATTAAATCTTCTTACTGTAATCAATTCTGCAGCTTTTGAACAGAGATACCTATTTTATTTCCTTTACAAGGGACATTAATTTTGCTTGTGTGTTTTGTTTCAGTATGCAGAAAATAAAGATTATGAACAGGCAAAGATTAAGAGGCTATCTTTCTCTAGGCAAAACAAATTTATTAGATGAGATCAGTATTGGAATTCAGTAAGACTTTTTATAGTGCTCCCTTTCTTTAACTCTTCCCATTAAACTTAATGGCAGCTTTGCCATTGATTTCAATAGAAAGCTAAATTAGGCTAATACTGAGAGTTTTGAAACCCCATTGACAGTTGCATACTGATATTTTGCAAACCAAGACACCGGATTGCAGATAATGCTACAATGGTTGTTTGGTTATTTCTGTAAACAGCAGTTATACCCAATCACAAGCAATACTCTCAGAGCGTTCCTACACTGCTAAGCCTTCAAATAAAAACATGCACTGTATGCTGTACTCTTAACACGTTTTCGTGCTGCTGCCCAGTCTGCAGAAGCGAAACTGACTGACACCTTACCATACCCCTTTAACCACCTGCACACTGCACACATGTGGGGATGCAATTCTGCCAGCGAGGCTTCCCAGCCAAGCTTGCTATGGTGGTCAAACAGATACATTACGTTTCCAACAAATTAGCAAGGCCTATCCATGTTATTGCTCCTCATGTTCACAGAGGCCATAACCTGTTCCAAAAGCATTTGCTTATCAAAGTCTTTTTATGTGACAAACACATATACAAAGAGCACAGATCTGCAGCAAAACGCACCTTTCTGTTGTCAGACGGATCCTTTCACTGTCACTGGAACTCAGGCTTTCGTTCTTCTCATGAAAATACTTTTCCACACACTGTTCCTCGAAGTCATGGAGTTTCTTTAACTCCTCATCACTCAGGTACAGCTCTGAACAAAGGAGGTAGGAGTTGGTATGAAGCATGCTGACAAATGCAATTGTTTATAAGCATCCATGAGAAAAAATACAGAACTGTCAGAACAAGCTTCCTCACCCTCCCTTGACAAGAATGAATCAGACCTAACTCTTACGTATAAGCCAAACACGCCAAATACATGTAAACGTGGTTTTTATTTTTCCTTAGACAGGAGGCAAAACCACACTGACAAAAATTCCAGTGCATACCCTTTTAAAGCCTCTACAGTACATAACCAAATGACTCCTCACGAAGATGTATTTTCTCCCAAACTTTTCCCTGTATTTTGTTACACATGTGTGACTCACAAGATTTAGATATAGGTATGTACAACTTACAAAGATTTCACTATAATTTGGTCCAGGCATTTATTTAGGACTAATCATAACAATTACTGCCCTTTCAGGTACTCAAGGCTACAAAGCTTTTTTTCACTTAATTGCTTCACGTATTCATATGTATAGAGCACTAAGCAAGATTACTGGATGAAAAAGAACACATTGGAAAGTTTAAAACTCCGCAGCTTAGGCTGCTCATGATGCTATTCTTCTAGCACACCATGACTTCTGACAGAACAGATCGATCGTAAGTCAGTATGAAGAAATGTAGACAGTGGAAAGCTGCTTCTCGGATCCAAACTCCACACCTTCCAAGCTCCTTTTTTCATTCCTTTTTTGTATACCAAAGTCCTCGCTGTACTTGCCAGGCAGGTATCTGTGCCAAGCGACACGGCGGTGTTTGCTACAACTATGAAGGACTTGGCTGCAACACACAGCTCAGCAGAGAAGCCCCTCGCAGTGTTCTGGGGTCCTCCCCTCACTCCGAATGAGATTTGCTCACCTCCTAGGCTCTTTTGCCCCATTAACCCATCTGTGTTCTCCCCGCCAAGATTTTACTCTGTAGTATTTTCATCGATTTTCCACAGGGTGGCACTGGATTCTCATTGCTAAAACCAGTCAATTATGACCATATCAAAATTCAAGTCGAAGAAACTTATCGAGCAGAGCACAGGCATATAGAAAAGGGACACAAAGGTACATAAACAGGAAAAATGTCTCCTTCTGAGAGACGTGTAGGCAAGGCATGATCCCTCTTCTATCCAAGGACTTTTAGATGCGCTAAACAGTGTTTCAGCTTTCCTTGTGTCTAATACACCTTTCAAGTAAGACACTCTCTATGCTACATCAGTGACTTATGCTGTGCACGCATATAAAATAAGCAGTGGTACTTCAAAGGCAGGCTGATACATCCAGTCATGATGGAGGAGCTGAGCCTGGGAGCAGCAGTAAAGCAGCTCAGCATCGATTAGTTAAGCCCATTTTTTAACTCCATAACCACGTGTGAGTGTGCCAGGTATCTTCAGGGATTCATGTTCAGCCGAGAAAATCCTAAGTGAAGCATAACCTAGGCAGGGTTTGCTCACCTCTGTTATTGGGCATCAAGGATGCACATTCCATTAAAAACGATGAGGCTGTATAATACTATGCGCCAATGTTCCCTAATGTTTTTTTAGATAAGGTTACAGCCACCAGCCTCTCCTCCTCCTCATTCTCCTGCCTCACTTCACCAACCACCAAGCCCCACTATTGAGTATTCATTCCCATCCCAACATCTTGTGGTTCCCTCTCTGCAAGGCTAGGACTGCTCCTGGCAGAGATGCAGAAGCTGGCAACAGTGGAACAAGGAACTAGCATTGTCTTAAAGACGCATTAGGAAGGACCCTGGGATGGAAAACTCCGCTTTGGGAAGGGTGAAGGAGGTGGGGTTAAGGTACAGTAATGAGCCACTGCACAAAGGGAAGGATGCAGTGAGGAGGTGGAAGGCCCCTATGCTCTCTATCTGCATCTGCCATCACTGGATCTCCTCTGTTCTCGGGCTCTGTGGCTACTTTCTCTGGGCAATCAAAAAGGAATTGTTGGCCTTTTCAGGACAAATGTACAGAAATGTATATCTCCAGTATTGTTAACTTTCTTTCAAAATAAGGCTATTCTATCCTACAGAAAAAGCTGGTGTCACCTTATTTCAGCTCAGAGTTGTGATGTATCTTGACTGATGCACAGTATGTAGCAGAGCAAAAGCCAAATACAAAGCACAGCATTCCCCTAGTCACTTTTTCCTACAAAAGTTCTCAGACAGGCAGGTTAAATTCAGTTTTGCAAATAAAAACAGCCTCCTACCCAGAGAATCTCTTTCTTTTTTCACTGAGCTACAAAGTGATGGGAGGCTGGCAAAACATTCCTCATCAGCTATTTCTTTTGGTCCCCAGCTTACTTAGTCCAACATCGCCTTCCTCTTGATCCAGCTCATTTGGGGGTCGATGGTGGAAGATGCGGTTTATCAGAAGTCCAATGTGACTCAGGAGGATGAAAGGCGGAGGCAGCCATGGCTTCTCATGGTAGGTCATTATGTAGCGGTACCGGTTGTACTTCCAGAGCTTGTTCGATATGGATTTCAAATCATAATAAACATTACTGAGAAGAGAGAGAGGGAAGGAGGGCAAAACACTCCTGTGAGAAATATTCCCAACACAGCAGAAGATGCTTGTCTGCAGATCTAATTTGACACTGAAGAAAAGTCCCATCCCACCAGTGAGGTAAATCAGCTTAGCAACTTTCATTTAACAAAGCAGCAGCATGTGCCTGCAGCTAGTGCACTGAGAATGAGATCTTCAAAGCTGCCTAACGGATTTGGAGATCCAATTCCCATTCACATTAATGGGAACTGGGCGAAAAATATCCCTGAAGTGGCTTTGAAATCTCAGCCAGATTATTTAAACTTTAATACACAGCCTAACTGAGAATTCAACATCGTCTGCCTCTTCGGACTGGATTAAATGTAAGGGAAGAGTGTTAACAAAACAGCTCTGCTACTCCACAATGCACTCCCCCTACAGAAAACACTTGCTGTAAGAGGCAGCTACACGAGCAATTCTTCTGCAGGATACTCTTCAGCGCTGTGATGTCACTAAACATGACTGTTGTTGCACAGAATAATTTCCCGTATCTACTATCATAGACCCAAGTACAGGAAAGCAACTTTGTGGTTTCTGGTGCTGTAATTTCAGTTGCACCATCATGCTGCACACCCAGCACATAATCACAAAAACATCAGCTTTGCTTCTGGGAGCATAATTAAATATATTGCTCATACTCATTTTTGGTCCCACTTCTGAAACAATCAAATCACTAGGCAGAAGATTTAACATATCATCACTGCTGAAGGTTTAAATCTAGAAATAATTCAAATTACAATTTCACAGCTGTGTATTAAAAAAAAAAAAAATTGATGCCTTGCCACAATTTCAGGAAAGGGACTTCTAATTGGAAGTGGGAATAGAATGAGTTTGATCATTCAGTTTTCTTGAATATTAATCACTACACTTCTACACTTGATATTTTTTTAACCTACAGCTGACTTTTTCTTCCCCAGAAATACTAGAACTCTAGGAAAAAATAATTAACTCTTGCATTAGATTGCTCTTTACTAATATTTTACACAACTTGATCCACAACAAGTGTTTCCTTGTTAAAACTTGAAAGGTTAGAACTACTATAAAGACACTGATTAATTACCATAGAATTACTACGAATTACTATAGAATACTATAAAGATACTTCCTACTCTGGCAGCAGACATTAAATAGCAGACAGTTAAAAACACTACAGTTAGATTTTAGTCTAGAACATATCAAATTGCACCAAACTACAGGAATTTTCAATTTCCTAAAGGAAAAGCATGCTCCTACAAAGTCATTATCCTCTTTCCTTGAACATCTTCTCCCCTTACTTGCCAATTTAAATCTCGGGCTACCCTACACTGAACATTATACAGGCTCTTGGCACAACAAATACAACTTTCAGGAACAAAGGACAAATTACTTCAGAGCTAAATTAATGTTGCTGGTTTGTCAACTGGAGTTGTCCGCTTTCACAGAGTCAGATTCTGTTTAAATGCCAAAACAGTTTAGGTGTCTGCTCACCATACCCTTCCTCTCAGTCTCTTGCTTCCACTATTCTTTTTTATTCAGCAAACCCCCACGGAAGATGGAGTAGCAACCACCATCAACATGACTCTGCTGGGGCATTTTTGGTGAAAGGCTTTTGTGGAAGTGTTGGCAGAACACCTACTAGTTGCTTTTGCTTTTGCAGCAATATACCACGGTACTTACTTAAAGAAAGCAATAAGCAAGTTGACCATGATGATGTACTGCACAAAGAGGTAGACAGCTTGGAGGAATGGCGTGAGGAAGGAGCCAGGAGGACAGTCTTCATCGGTTTCACAGACTGAAAGTGAAGAACATACAGAGCATGGTTAGCATGGAAATTAGAGCAGAGCACAGCAATGGCATGTGCTCCTCATTTGCCTCAGCAAGAAATAGAATAGTCTTGATTACTTTCATGGACATACATTACTACATTTCTAACTAAAACATCTCCCTCCACATAAAGGAAATCTGAGGCCTCTTAGTGACACTGCTGCCCCATAGTTTCCATTACAATTCAGAAGGTGTAAACGCCTTTTCACACACATGAGTTCTTACGCCAGTCCTCTCAACTTTTTGTTAAAGGGAAAAATGATGCAGCTGAAATGTATTTGGGAGATGGCACGCACTCAAGTAAACTGAAATCCAAATCTTTGATCCTTAAAGCAAAGCTTTCACTGACTCCAATATGGAAAAGATACAGCGCAAAGGCTGCTTAATTAGTACTGGAGTGTTATTCCTTTAGAGCTTCAGTAAGATAATTTTAACTCATGTACAAATGGATATATGGCTATGAGTACTTGTGAGATGAAGCAACAAATCATATAAATTAAGGGATGCTTCTTAACATCTTTAAAAATAAATACTTTTCAGTCTCTATAATTTTAAATCAAATTTTACACCTTTGAGGAAATTTTAAAACACATTTATAAGGCAGCACCCCTAAATTCAGGACATACTCCGCAGCATAAAGAGTCATTAGAGAAATCATAGTTTTATTTGAGAAGTGTCAAATTTCTAAAGGTTTAGCATTAATAAGTGATTAAACCAATTAAACTGAGAAACTTAACCAGTGTGCTTTCATTAATAGAATTTTGACTTATATAACCAAAATACATAGCCATCATGTGACTGTTTCAGGAATAATAATGGCTGCAAGATCTTAAATTATTTTAATGAATTTGGTCTACGCTGAACTATGTCTCTTAAATATCTGTACCTATTTGCATACTTACTTTTCTATTTTAGGGACTGTTTTAACTGTACCCATTACTTGGCAGCATGAGAGTGCCTTCCATTTGCAATGCTGAAATCTCTCCTGGAGTGCCTGGTTCTTCTCTCTTACTGAGACAAGGTCAAAGCAATAATCAAGATACAACATTTTTCCTATTTGCATTAATTGGTTCTATTTTTCCTATGTTCAAGTGGTTTATCTGTTTAAGAATCATGCCAGGTAACTCTTACTATAGTGGAAAATCACTTTTCTTTCTTACTTTTCCTTTTTTGTTTTCCCTTTATTTTTTCCTTCCTTCAAGGCAACTTTGTAGTCTTTTCTCCAAGAGATCAACAGCTTTGGATTCACCTAATTGGAAATTCATTTCACTGCCAGATCCCCTGACCATAAAGGAGCTTAGTATTAGTTCCTATGTGCTTCGCTCTGAGCTTTACCATATACTTAATTTGAAAAGCTAAATTTGAAGGTTTTAAAGCTTAATCGTTATTTTTAACAAAGAAACTAATACTCTCACCTTTATTCACTCAGTATTACTCATTAAGGACACATGTACGCTCAAATCAAATTGTTTGAGAAAGAATAGACACAGTATGGGGTCAAAACTCTAGCAGCCCAAAGTGGACACGTTTCTGCACATATTAAATTTAAGCTGTTGAGCTGCGCTGTGAAAATTACCTACCATCGATTTCTCCAGCATAGACCTCACCAAACATCATCCAGTAGGGTTGAAATACAATATCTCGTGCCAGAGTCCAAGAAGGAGGCTCCTCTGGTGAAAGGATTGCCTTTCGTGACACTCCAAAACTCAAAAGGACAATAGCCATCATGACCACAATATAGAACATGTTTGCTGTCTGGAAGATACGTTTGTATTAAAAGCATTAGTTGTGTTAATTATATGAAAAGCAGATATACATTTTAGGAAAGAGAATCAATGACTGCTTTTATAAATCAGAGTATAAAACTGGGATCTAATAATCTAATATGCTGGAGGGAAAAAAAAAAAATATTTCTATGGCCTGGACTACCCAAGTATTTTATAGAGGTTAAAGTCATACTGGACCAAAAAGGCCACAAGTCCTACTTGCCTCTCAAGTCTCTCTTAAGATCTTAAGCAAGATTTGAAAAACGCAGAGACCTTACAATGGTGCTTTCCCTCAGTGCTTTTTCTTCCAAGCTGACAGCAAGGAACAGCAGTGAAAATTATTTTGCCTTCTAACACTGAATTGGAATTACTATGCAAGTCAGAACACAGAAGTATTAATAAGATACTTCCCAATAACCGAGGGAAATTACAGTGGGAATCTGCAGATGTCTCTCCAGACTAGGCAGTAGTTCAGCAGCAGTTCTTATAGCAAAAGAAAAAAAAAATTAACTTTGATCTCAGAGAAATTTTGCCTGATAAAATGGGATATAATTATTTGAATCAAAATGTAAAATCATAATGAGACAGTTTCCAAGAGCTAGGGGAGTTATCTATAGTAGTGAGCCCGTCTGCAAGAGACACTAATTTTTCTTTCTCCTATTATCAAGCTGGATCAGAAACTCAACTCAAATGCAACCCTTCTCTAAGGAACGAAGCAAAAACAGCTTTTGTGAATAAATTCAAATAATGAATAAATTAGAGAGAACTGAAATCTGATTATGGTCAACTCACAAACAGAAAAAGACATGGTATTTCCAGGTAATACCTTCACTATGAGCTATTAGGTGACCTCTTCTTTGCCCACCATTCTTTTCTGTCACTTCTGACCTTTACATGTTCCTGAATAGATACCTTAACTACAAAAATATGGCTCCAAAACATACTACTTACCATTTTCCCAATCATTGTCAGGTATGGGCCAGCATGCTGATTCACTGCAAAAAGATCAAGGAGCCGAGCATACCAAAATATTATATCCAAGCAGTAAAGTAGCCTCCCTGCAGTTTGAACAGGAGGGTCGGACCAGCGCAAGCCAAAGCCAATCATAAACAGGATGATAGCTATAGAATCAGTAAAATTCCAGTATTCATAAATCCACACCTTTACTTTTTGGCGGAATTTTCCAGGTTCTGAGATAAACACCTAAGTAGAA